CCCCCCCCTCCCTTCGAAAACCCTGGGGGGTCATTACCGGTTCGAACCCCCCCCCGTCCATTTTGAAAAGGGAGGGGGGCCACTACTGGTTCGACCCACCCCCCCTCGCCGCTGGCAAACGATGCCCGCTCCTCGGGACAATGGGACAATGGTGGAGACAGTGGGACAAAGGTGAGGACGGTGGTGGTGGGGACAGTGGTGTGGGGACAGTGGGACAGTGGTGGGGACGCTGGGACAATAGTGGGGACGGTGGTGGTGGGGACAGTGGTGACGGGACAGTGGGGACAGCGGGGCAATGGTGGGGACGGTAGTGGTGGGGACAGTGGTGAAGGAGGTGATGAGGACGGTGGTGGGACAGTGGTACAATGGGGGGGGGGGGACAGTGGGGACAGTGGGAAAGCGGTGGGGACAGTGGGGACGGTGGGACAGCACAGTGGGACAGCGGCGGGGACAGCGGGGACAGTGGCGGGAACAGTGGGGACAGTGGTGGGGACAGTGGGGACAATGGAGGGAGTGGGACCGTGGCGGGGACAGCGGGGACAATGGTGGGGACACTGGGACAGCGGCGGGGACAATGGGACAGTGGTGGGGACGGTGGTGGTGGGGACAATGGTGTGGGGACAGTGGGACAGTGGGGGGACACTGGGGACAGTGGGACAGTGGTGGGGACGGTGTTGGTGGAGACAGTGGTGAGGGCGGTGGTGAGGACGGTGGTAGGACAATGGGACAGGGGCACAGGTAGGACAGTGGTGGGGACAGCGGGAACAGTTGTGGGAGCAGTGGGACAGCTCAGTGGGACAGCGGCGGGGACAGAGGGACCGTGGGGACAGTGGTGACAATGGGACAGTGGTGGGGACCGTGGAGAAAGCGGGGATAGTGGGACCGTGGTGGGAACAGTGGTGGGGACAATGGTGGGGACAGTGGGGACAGTGCGACAGTGGTGGGGGCACTGGTGGGGGCAGTGGGGACGGTGGTGGGAAAAGTGGGGACAATGGTGGTGGGGACGGCGATGACCCCCCCCGGTTTTCCGGAGAGGGGGGGGAGGGGTTAGGGGGGGGGGGGGCCTGGGGAAGGGGGGGAGGGTGGGGGGTTCCAGCAGGGGGGGATTTTCGAAGGGGGGGGGGGGACGCCCAGGCCCCAGAGGAACAGGAGAGGGATGTTCCACAGTACAGCGGCGGTGGATCACGCTCTCTCGTATGTGTAGATGTATACATGGACAAATACGTGTACACACCGAACTACAGGCATGCATAGACATAGTGTGTGTACCCTTTTTGTGAACAACATACATACACATCCATCCATCCATACATACATCCATACATACGTACACATACACGTTCATTCATTCAGTCATACATACATACACGTCGCTCGTACACATGGGCGCCACAAGGGTCTCGAAAGAGCCTACAGCGCACGAGATGCATCGACGAGCGCCATCGCTGCCCGTCGATTCTGGAATAGATACGTGCTCATCTCAACCTTCGCAGGGCGAGACCGAGCACGCATGGAATTGTAACAATGAAAAGCAAGAACCATCGACTCCACTTGCTCGATGGTCGGCGCCCCATCCAGCCCGAGTCTGGACGCGACGCTCTGCGGTGCGTCCACTAGACCAGCGACACTCCTCGACCAAAGAATACGGCAACGAAGGTAGTGAGCGAAGGTGTCGCGCTGCTGCTCGCACCCGCATTCGAAAAGACAGTCGCTCACCCCTGTATGGACGCGCAGCCTCGCGGAGGTGAGCCAACCTCCACAAATCGTCTTTACAACCGCCGACTGCCACGCGGGAGGTAGGGGCTCCAGCAGGGCTCTAAGCGGAGGCCATGGGCCCCTGGGATGTGGGACCTGCCACGTCTGGAGCCGCCTCTCGATGGTGAGATGGAGCGAGTCAGGAAAAAGAGCAGCACGGAGGGAGGAGGTAAGAACACGCTGAAGCTTGAATCGAGATTGACTGGCGACGGCGGCGGCGCGAGCCTCTTTCACTTTTTGCCGAGCCTGCGTCGCAGGCCCGTGCAGCACACTGTCCACTGTCTGCGCCCCAGGCGGCGGGCGGCGGTCGAAGTCGTGGGCGGCCTTGTCCTGGTACTGAACCGTGGGCCGCAGCTTCCAAAACGGCGGGGATAGCCAGCCACGACCAATGTCGAACAACGATCCGTGGGAGCACACCTCTTCTTGTAACCATTCAATGAGGAAACGCCAGTTGGTCACCGTCTCCTCCGCCGACCTCATGAGAGTAGCGGTACCACGAGGTAGCATAGACATGGGACGGATGTGCGACCAGCTGGCGAGTGAAAAGATGTCGGCACGTGACAGACACTGCGGTGGCAGATGCCACACCTTGTGCAGCGCCCAAGACTCTCGTGCCAATAATACCTTCGGCGCAGGATACAGTTGCTGCAAATACCCCGTGGCTGTCAGCACATACTTGTTGTAAATGTCAGTGGCCGTGGATACAGGAGCGCCTGACTTGGCGAGCAGCAGCACACGAAACGACCACTTAGCCGCCACCTTGCGCCATATACTGTGCTCGTCCGCCGCGGGTCATACATACATACACGTATAAACACATACCTGTATGCATACACACATACATACAAACATACATACATACATACATACATACATACATACATACGAGAGAACGCGTTTCAGGGGCGCTTGCCTTGGGAATATTCGGCGGCGCGTTTCAAACTGGGGGGTGGGCCCCCCCGTAACACTCGGCGCCGTCGATCAAAACCACGGGGGCCCCCCTCCCCCCCGACCCCCCCCTCCCGAACCGCCCCCCCCTCCCTCTCCCCCCTCGGCGCTGGCGCTGGCGACCGCCAGCAGCGCCCGCGGCGGGGACGCAGCGACGATGACCAGAGGCAGCCCAGGGGGGGGGGAACCCCCCCCCGCCCCTCCCCCCCTCGGCGCCGGCCCTGGCGGCGGCCAGCAGCGCCAGCGCTGGCGCCGGCGACGGCGGGGACGCAGCGACGATTACCACCACTACCACCACCACCACCACCACTGGCACCACCACCACCGCCTCAACCACCACCACCACCACCAACAGCACCACACAGACACCACTACCACCACCACAGCCACCACCACCACCACCACAACCACCACCGCAACTCACCGTCACCACCACCACCAAAAACCCACCACCACTACCACCACCACACCCACAATCTACCACACCACCACCACCGCCACGACCACCACCACTACCAGCAGCACAACCAACCGCCAACACCACAAACCACCACACCACCACCACCACCACCACCACCACCACCACAACAAACGTCTACAAATCACCGCCACCACAACCCACCACCACCACCACCACAAACCACCACCACACCACCACAACCACCACCACCACAACTCACCATCACCACCACCACCACCACAAAAACCCACCACCACTACCACCACCACCACAATCTACCACACACCACCACCACCGCCACAAACCACCACCACTACCAGCAGCACAACCCACCACCACCACCACAAACCACCACAACCACCACCACACCACCACCACCACCAGCACACACCTCCACAAACCACCGCCACAACCACAACCCACCACCACCACCCACACCAACCCACCAAACCACCACCACCACCAACCCACCACCACCACCACCACCACAAACCACCACCACACCACCACCAAACCACCACCACCACCACCAACCACCACCACCACCACAACCACAACCCACCACACCACCACCACAACCACCACCACCGCCACCACCACCACCACCACCACCACCACCACCGTCGTCCTCGTCGACGCTCCCCGCCACCGCCGCCCGCCGCCGCAGGCGCCGGCGCCGGCCAAGAAATGGAAATCGTCGTCCCCGCCGCCGTCGCCAGCCGCCGCCGACCCAAGCGCAGCGCCGGGCCCGAGGAGAGGGGAAGCAGGAGGGGGGGGGTGTTCGAACTTCCCCCCCTCAGTCACGAGAAGGGGGGGTTCGAGCCCCCCCCCTCCGTCACGGATGGGGGGAGGGGGGGTTCGAACCCCCCCCTCTATCCAGGGGGGGGGGTCCGGTTCCACCCCCCTCCCCCTCCAAGCGATCACAGAACGCGCTCTTACATACATACATATATATATATATATACAGACATACATACATACATACATACAGACAGACAGACAGACAGACAGACAGATATACATACATACATACATACATACATACATACATACAGACAGACAGACAGACAGACAGACAGACAGACAGACAGACAGACATACACACATACATACAAACATACACACATACATGCATACATACATGCATGCATACATGCATACATGCATGCATACATACATGCATGCAAACATGCATACATGCATACGTACATACATATATACGTACATACGTACATACGTGCATACGTGCATACGTGCATACGTGCATACGTACATACGTACATACGAAAATACGTACGTACGTACGTATGTACATACATACATACATACATACAGACAGACATACTCACATACAATCATACATACATATATACATGCAACCATTCATACACATATACACATACATCACATGCATACACATGCATACACATGCATACCTGCATGCATGCATGCATGCATACACGTATGCAGACAAGTAGACACGCATGCATACATGCATGCATGCATGCATGCAGACATACAGACGAACAGACAGACAGACAGACAGACAAACAGACAGACGGACGGACAGACATATGCCGAGGACGAGGGTGCAAACACATCCGCAAAGCGCTCGGGCCAAGCTCCCGACGGCCACATGTGTAGGCCCATCTCTCATCCTCGTCCCACGTCTCCGTCTCCGTCTCCGTCACCTCCTCCTCCTCCTCCTCCTCCTCCTCCTCCTCGTCCTCATCATCATCATCATCCTCATCATCCTCCTCCTCCTCCTCCTGCCTCCTCCTTCTCCTCCTCCCGCCTCCTCCTCCTCCCTCCTCCCGGCCGGAGCTGCGCGCCGCTCCTGGCCGGCGAGTCGATGGCGGTGGCCTGCGCCGCCAGGTCGTCGAGCACCGCCTTGACCGCGGCGTCCATCCCGCGCTTGATGTCCATGGGGTTCATGCCTGGGGCGGGGAGGCCCAGGGGGGAGGAAGAGGAAGAGGAGGAAGGGGAGGAGGAGGAGGAGGAGGAGGAGGAGGAGGAGGAGGAGGAGGAGGAGGAGGAGGAGGGGGGAGGAGGGGGAGGAGGAGGAGGAGGAGGAGGTTGGAGCTTCTTGGGGGGGCCGCGTGTCAATCCAGCCTATCGCCTCTGTTGGCGGGGCCTCCTGCGGCGCTGACCACCGAGGGGCATTTCAACTGCCTGGAGTGCAGCGCGAGCGAGCGAGCGAGCGTCATTATCCTTAAACGGCGGAGCACGGGTTTTGCTCTCTTGGTGAGCCAACCTATAGAGATGGAAATAACAGGCAGTGAATTTGAACGTTTCGGGCGAGGGGTGGATCAGGCCCAGGGCTAGGAGGGGGTCCAAAAACGGGGGCGCTGGAAGGTCAGCGTTTAATTGACTACGGACGAGCATATACATCGGGTCGCACCAGCAAAAATAATGCTTAAGCGAGTCTCGAGCCCCAGGACATCCCCAGACGCACCGCCTGTACGGGTTGCGCATCCTAGACTCGGTGATCCAACCCCCTCCCCAGGTCTTAATGCAAGCACTGCGCCAGGACGGCGGGATGCGATGCATCACCGAGGCGACGGCCGACCAGTCGATCGCCGCAGCGTCGACAGCGTGGACCCCGAACCAGCGCTGGAGACGCTCTTGCAGGCGGAGGTGGAGGCGCGGGAGACGAGAGTCGGAGCGAAGGTACGAACCGAGGAGGGAGGAGTAAAGGAGGTGCTGTGGTCGCACACGCCGCAGGGGAGCATGGCGCTCGTCTCCTGCAGCCTGGCTGGCGCGCCTGCGGTGGGCCTCGCGGGAGGCGGCCGCAAGAAGGGCGCGCGCGGCCGTCGCGCGGGGGCTCGTGCCGCGGCACGACGCCGCTCTCTCCAGCGTCACAGCAATGGCCTCAGATTGCCACCAGCTGGGCCACGGGCAGCCACGGACCGTCCGCACCAGGGGCAGGTGCCGCAGCGCAGCCCCGCGGAGCTGCCGCGAGGCCAGGAGCCCAGCGTGACCACCGCCGCCCTCACGAGCGCTGCCTCGCACATGGTCGTGGCGGAGGGGATCTGCGGGCCGCCGACGGTGTCGAGCTCATGCCACTCCCCGTCTCCCAGGAAGCTGCCTGGCAGGCGGAGCAGGTGCGCCAGCCTCCCTCGTTCGAGCTTCTTCAGGGAGTCGGGGGCCTCCATCATCTGCGCCTTGCATGACAGGACGGGCACGCAGCGGTCCTTGTGCAGGAGGATGGCAGCATGCACGTCCGAGCGGCTCCTGGAGATCTCCCCGACGCGCTCGGAGTACTTCTTCATCGGCACACGCCATTGTGCCTCCTGCGTGACCCCTGGTCCCAGCAACACGCCCAGGTACTCGAGGTGGTCCACGATTGGGAACGCCTCCCAGCCCTTGTCCGGGCCATCAGGGAGTCCCGCGCCCGCTCCTGCGCGTCATCGCGCTGCGGGTCACCCAGCGGGATGGCGCGGCACTTCGCAGGCTTGATCAGCAGGCCAGCCAGGAGCTTCGCGCCGCGGAAGACGCGGGCCAGCGTGAGCAGGCCGCGTTGGGACATCACTGCCGCGCCCAGGTCGTCGGCGCACCATCTCGAGATGCCCCGACGCTTGGAGTCCAGGTTGGCCTTCAGGTCCTGCCCGAACGGGTGGACTGCGAGGACGAACAGAGTGCCGCTGGCGGGGTCGCCCTGTAGGATGCCCGAGCGCACCGAGTAGAGCGCGGCCCTCGTACGCGAAGCCGCGAGGGAGACGACCCCGTCGCAGTTGACCTTCAGCGCGTCCTGGAGCCCCTGGGGGGCGGCCATGGCGCGGAGCGTGCCGAAGAGCCAGTCCTGCGCGATGCTCGGAAAGGCCTGGCCCCAGTCGAAGGAGATGAGGAAGGGGGAGTCACCGTGCCTCGCAGCCATGGAGAGCACGCGGGAGTGTGTGTCGAGCTCGACTATGTCGTCGCAGAAGTTGCGTCCGCAGATGAAGCCTCTCTGCGTGTCCACGCAGTGCCACCCCGCCACCTTCTTCATGCACGAATTGAGGGCCCACATGACGGCCTTCCTGGACGTGTTCTCAAGCGCTAGTGGGCGGGTCTCACCAGCGCGCCTGAGGACTTCTTGCGGGCCATCAGCGCGCGCTCCCTTGGCGGGGAAGACGGCGATGGAGAAGTTCCACTCCTGGCGCATGGGCAGCCCCTCCAGTTGCCACGCCATAGCCTCCGCCAGCGCCTCGACCCCCAACGGCGTGAAGAGCCAGGCCCTAGCGCCGAGACCGTCTGGACCAGGGGCTGACTTGCGGGTCCTGCGGAGCGCCATGGCCACGGCGCGTGCCGAAGGGGGGCACGATCGAAGTCCAGTCAGCACCTTGGATGCCGTAGCGTCGGAGATAATCATCCTGGAGCTCCCGACGGCGCAGAACCACACGAGGAGCATCCCGCGGGAGAGGGACCGTGATGCCGTCTTGGAAGGACATGGGGATGACGTTCGAGTTGGAGGCAAGGTTGCGCATCATTTCCTCGGCTGACTGCTTCCGCTTCGCCACGTCGTCGCCGAAGACGCCTCGCCAGTAGCCCGCTGGCGCCCTCTGAATATCCTGCTCCGATCTCGCAACCGCGCCGCCATCCAGCTCGATGCCCCCGAGGAGGCGACGTGCCGACGTAGGGGCCCAGAGGGCCGCACGCCGTCGCAGGGCCCTTTGCTGCCTTACAAGCGCTGCTTTGTTGGACTCGACTGGCTCCCCGTCAATGTCATGCTGATGTGGGCGGAGTATTTCTTGCAGATCGCGGCATTGCGCAAGGCGGTACCGTCTGGAGAATTCTTGAGGGCCTAGGAGCACCACTTGTGCTCTGCCAAGCCCTGGGTGGTAGCGACGTTCGACCATCTGGCTCGCCCATGCATGTTGGCGCAGCAAGGTCTCAGCCATCCGAACGCCCTGCCTCGCTATCGCTCGGCCAAGCTGTCTCCATATCAAAGCCGTCGGCGAGCGCAAGCCAGGCTCCCCACGAAGACTGGCATCGCGTGTGGCGGCCGCAGCAGTCTGCAGGATCTTCGTGTGGTAGTGCACTCGGTCAGGAGGAGAGAGACCATCCAGGGGGACCTCGCACTCGTACTTCCTGATCATCTCGCCAAAAAAGTGATTCTCAGAGACGAAGGAGGGGGCAGGGTTGATGACGCCCGTGGTCGGTCTCTGTCTCGGGGGGCGAGAGGTCCATGCTACAGAGTACACCGCGTGGTCCGAGAGCCCGTCGAGGTGCAACTCGTGAGGCTCTCCATGCACCTGCCCATGTTGACAAGTCTGCGTGAGCAACCAGCGTGGGGGGCCGATCCATATCTTGTCAATCGTGGTAGCGATCTGCCTGCCAGGATGCCAGTGTGTCGGTTTGTGAGGTATCATCTCCGTCGCAGCACTCAGCGCATGAGCCCATGCGCGCCCGCGGGGGTGGGAGGCAGCCCTGCGCCCGCCACCAGGAACGAGGGGGTCCTCCACCTCCGCATTCTCGCCGTAGTTGAAGTCGCCCACAATCACAACGCAGCACCTCCTTGGATTCATCCCCATGTCACGCAGATCAGCCTGGATCGCGCCAGCGACCCGTCGTACCTGCTCGCGCGAGAGGGCGTGGTCATGGATGTTCCAGTGCTTCAGCGTGTAGCCAGAGTGGGGCCCGTCCGTGACCGTGGCCGTGACACGGAGCACCCGCGCCTTGATGCAGAACGTCTTGCGCAGGTCCATGCCCGCGCGCACCTTGCATGGGGAAAATGGTGGCGACGCTGCCGAGGGACTCATCGACATTGTCACCGAAGGAGTAGAACATCTGGTAGTCCGTCCCCAAGCGATCTATCAACATACGCAGACGCGCGGCCGACCCGTGGACCCCCTGCATACCAACGATAGCCCCTGCTCGGAGTGCATTCCCAAGATGGTCGCATTTGCGTGCCGCCACGCTCGCCTTGTAATGGCAGAATGCTCTGGCATTCCAGGTGGCGAAGGTGAGCCCCTTGCTCTGCGGGGCGGCGAAGAGTTTGACAAACGTGCTAAAGACACCAATCGTCATCACCAGGCGCCAGAGCCGCCTCCACCGTCGCTTCGAGGTCCTCACGCCGCAGCCCGATAGCCGAAAGCGCGGATGGCGACCAGGACACAACCGGGGTGGAGTTGGGGCCGTCGATGGTGAGTCGGAGGAAGGCCTTCCATTGGGACGAGAGGGAGAACTTCTGCTTGTCCACGAAGATGCGGTGCCTGTCGCCGATGACGCGCCCCAGCGCGACGGCGAGCTTCTTGAGCGTGAGCTCGTGCAGCACCTGCTTGCGGTTCTGGTCGGGCGCCACGAATATGTCGACCTCGTGGCCTGCGGGCGTCGCGGCACGTGGCTTGCGCCACTCCCCACGGCCAAGGCGCATGCACCCCGGCACCTTAGCAGCCCTTCTAGCCCCGAGCTCAGGGGGCCCCTTGAAGCGGAAGACGCAGCGCTTGCCGAGGGGCTCCGCCTCGACCGCGAATGAGTCGGGGCCCCTGCCAGCCGCGGTGAGGAGAGGGTCGATGGCCTGCATGAAGGCCGCGGCGGGGAGCTCCTCCTTGCAACGCACGACCACCGCCGTGAGGTCTGGAGGGCGGTCCCAGCCAGGGCCAGCAGGGGCAGAACATGGTTCAGCACGCGCCATGATGCCCATCTGCTCACGGAGCTGCGCAATGTCCGCGCGCAGCTGCCCCTCGATGTCAAACTGCTTCTGCTCAACCCCTCGAAGGCGTCCTTCCACGGCTCCGACACGGGACTCCATGACCCCTTAGATCTGCGCCAGGCCCGCCGAGAGGGTGGCGTCGACGCTGGCGACGACCGCTGACGTGACGGCGGAGGTGATGGCCGCCTGAACTTGCTGGAGAAGGGCGGCCTGTGCGCGGTTGGGCGGGACAGCATCCGCGGCGCCGCCCGTTTCCCCAGACGAAGTCGCCGCAGATGAGTCCCCCAGGAGTCGCGTCAGTCCGCTGGTCACGAAGAGGAGCAGCATGAGCGGGAGGGTGGCCACGGCATGGTCCCAGTGGCGACGCAGGGCCCAGGGGGGTCCCGCCGTTGTCCAGGTAGGTCCTCCACGGGTCACCGCCAACACCAGCAGCTTGACGAGGGCCGTCCTTGGCACCGGCGGCAGCATCCTTATCAGCAGCATCCCCGACTCCAGCCCCCCCCGCGCCCTGCGATGGCAACGTAGCCAGTGTGTCGAGGTCGATCCCGTCTCTCTGCATCTCGAAGGCCGCATCAGCTGCTCTCTGGCGCCAGCGCGCCTCGCTGGGGGAGAGGTGGGAGGACTTCCTGTCGCCCTTTCCCCGACGGCCAGCAGGACCAGCGTGGCCAGAGGGAGGAGCAGCAGCACCAGGGCGGGCCAGCCGTTCATGATCAGCTTGTGGCGTCTTGCGGCGATGCTCGGACGCCCGTGAGTGGGACTTGGATGATCGTGTCCTGGACGTCGAGCGGCCGCTGCAGCTGTGGGAGCCCACCGAGTGGACGCGGATCTTCTCGGGGCTCGCTGCGCCAGGCATGGCTCCGAGGCTGGAAGCGATCGGGCCGACAGGAACGGGAAATGTCTCCGTTTACCCACCGACGCGAGCGCTGGAGAGGTGGCCCAGAATCGATGCCAGACTTCAGGAAGTCTTGCCAGCCGCAGACTAGCGGTATCCGTTTGGTTCCCAGGGGAAGCCTGCATCTTGAGCCAAAATGGCTACGGAGGGAGGAGGAGGAGGAGGAGGAGGAGGAGGAGGAGGAGGAGGAGGAGGAGGAGGAGGAGGAGGAGGAGGGGGAGGAAGAGGAGGAGGCGGAGGAGGAGGAGGAGGAGGAGGAGGAGGAGGAGGAGGAGGAGGAGGAAGAGGAAGAGGTGGACCCCGCTGTCCAGAACGCCTGCCCGCGCGCGCGCGGCGAGCCCCTGGCTGGCCGCGCAGCGGCCGTCGAAGGCATCAGTTGCGCTTGGAGGTAGGGAAGCCACGGCCTGGACGCCCAGGGCCTCTGCCGCGGTTTCTGCCCCGGGCCTGCCGGTGGAGGCGGAGGTGTGCTGGCAGTTCGCCAGGGCCCCGCTGTGCTGGCAGCCCGCGCCGGGCCCGCGCGGTCAGCGGCGGAGCGCAGGCGCGCTGCGAAGCGGCGCAGGCCCATGGCCTCGACCACCGCAGGGGGGCGACCGCAGCGGGGCCAGGGCGGTGGCGCAGCAGGCTGCGCAACGCGGCCGGCCGCGCCGCGCTTCGGGGGAGGCCGCTCCCGCCCCGATGGTCGGCGCCGTAGTCCGCCGGCGGGCCCAGGCCGAGGCGCGGTGCAGCAGGCAGGCGCGGGCGACGGCGCGCGTAGCATCCGGACCGCCGGGCTCCGCGTCGCGCCGAGGAGTGCGCGATCCGAGCGGCGCCGCCCTCGCAGCGCCGACGGCAGGCCGGGGGCGCCCCACGCGCACGCGGCGGGGGCCGCGAGCTGGGCTCCGAGGCGAAGCCACCCCTGGCCGGCGGAGGTCGGCAAGGACCGCCTGGGCCGGCCACCCTGCGCGGCTGCGCCTGGGCGGCGGCCGCGGCGTGAACGCGCCGCAGGTGGGCCCTGCGGCGATGGGGCAACTGCCGCACCGAGCTCGCGTCGTGCCGCGGCGTTGGCCGCGCTCAGGGAGATCCGCAGGCGCAGCCGCACCCGCTCGCTGGGCGCGTCGGTCGCGGCTGGGTCCACAGGGATGAGGTAATGCAGCATGGGCTCAGCCAGGCCCCAGTGCGAGGCAGTCCAGCGGCCCGAAATGGCAACTGAGGCCAGAAGGACGACCACCCGCTCGCTCACGCGAGGGCGCCCGCAGAGGATCTCCACCCCGAGAGCGTGACGTTGGCCGTGGTCCGCGGGGCAGACCCGGCTGCAGGCAGCCGCATGGCCAGCACGAGTCTGGGCGCCCAAGCGGAAGGCGGAAGAACTCAGCCAGCGCGACAAACTTTCGGCGGGGCGTCAAGATGCGGGGCCCCACGTCCAGCTCGCCCCTGATGAGGTCTCCTTGGACAGGGCGCTGGAGACAACGCAGGCTGCAGCACAGCGTGGTCAACTCGGCCGCGCGCTGCTTGTACTTTGTGGCCACCGCATGCCATGAGTCCATACGGATCGCCCACGGTCACAAGACGAAGCCAAGATACTGCACTTTGGACGCGGCTGCGAAGTCCGCCCGTCTCGGCGCGAGCGCCCGGAGAGCCGAGCGGATAGCCTGAGTGGCATCTGAGAGGGCCATGGGCCACGCCCGTGAGCGCCGTGCACACGCAGAAGGACAGGCTGAGGAGTAGGATCATCGGGTATGGGCAGACCTCCCGTTAGTAAAACGTGGTTTAGTGGAAACGACCTCGGGCCCAAACCTGGCGGGCGCAAGCCTGGAAAATGACGGCCGCGGCGCCCTCTCGAGAACCGAAAACGGGCAATTCACTAATCGACGTGTCAGGGTAGGAGGTCCGTCCACCCCCGAGATAAGGAGGAGGAGGAGGGAGGAGGAAGGGGGGGGGAGACATGACGAGGAGGAGCAGGGGATGAGGAATGGTCTCCACCCCTCCCCCCCCGATCCTCCCCCCCCTTCCCGTCCCCCCCCCCCCGCCCCCCCTCCCCGCCCCCTCCCCCCCTCCTCCCTCCTCCCCCCCCTCACCCCCCCCACCACTCCCCCTCCCCCTCCCACTTCCTCGCTTCCTCCCTGCCGTCCCCAGCTTCATCAGCGTCGCAATCCAGACAACAATCTGCCCGGCCCACTCCTTCTCGGCTCTCCTGTCCTCCCGCCCGCGCGCCCGTGCAGAGTGCCTGCCGCGACGGCCTTGCACCCCTCCCGGAAGATGGCCCTCGCCAAGACCGTGGCCGTGGTGGTGCCGTCCCCGGCAACGTCGTTGGTTTTGCTGGCCACGGTCTTGACCTCGGCCGCCCCGTCCTCTCTCCGCCCTCCGCCCCCCAAGCGCCCCCCCCCCCCCCCCCCCCCCCATTCTGGCGGCTCGCAGAGGAGGGGCAACGGGGAGGGGGGTAAAGGCTTCTCAGAAGGCGCCAGCCCTACGTCTGCAGCCTAGGCCCGCGCCTTCCAGGAAGCAAGGGTGCTTCTGAGAAGCCCTCCCCCCCTGCTCCTGCCCCCCTGCCGCGAAATACTCTCCCACCCACCCCACCACCCCCACCGCACCCATTCTTCGCGCCTCCTCTCCCCGCAGCGATTCCCCCTCCTGGCGCCTCCTCTCCTCCGCAGCGATTCCCCGCCCCCCTCCCTCCTCCCCCCTCCCTCGCCGTCCGCCTCCGCCTCCGCCTCAGCCTCCCGCCCGCTCTCGCTCGTGCTCGCCCGCCCCTCTCCCCCTCGCCCCTCGCGGGCCGTGTCCTGCGCTCCCTTGCCCTGCCCTGCTCCGGCTGCTGCCCCTCCCTCTCCATCCCTTCTCTCCTCACCGGCGGCTCCTCGCCACTCGCCACCCCCAGGACGTGCCGGTAGGCCTGGCTGGGCGTTCCGCCTGCGACTTGCTCGCTACTCATGGCCGTGAAGCTTGCGACAGGTTCAAGGACGGAGGGCGGACGGGTTTCAAAACGTGGCTCTCGCCTCAGCGCCGCGCTCGTCGGCAGAGTCTGCAGCAGCTTCAAGGATGGAGGGCGGGTCGTTTTCAAAATGCGGCTCCCGCCTTAGCGCCGTGCGCGCTTCGGGGCCAGGAATCAACTCTGGACGCGTCGCGCGGCGCGCCCCTGCAGTCGGCACGCCCTCCCTCGCCAGAGGGGAAGGGAGGCGATGGCAGATGGGGGGGGAGGATGTGGGAAGGACTGGGAGAGAGAGCGAGAGAAAGAGAGACCACAAACAAAGAAACGACAAGCTTTTTTGATCCGCGGGTCGAGAGCGCACCTCTTCCGGTCGAAGCTAAGCGGGCCGTGCGCAGCTTTAACTAACCTAGGGGGGAAGGCAGAAGGAGGGGCCTCACATCAAGGCCAGGAGGGGGCAAAGCCCCGGAATCAAGCGGTGCCGAGGACGAAGTACTTGCAAAGGAACGCCTTGGACAGGAACCCGGCGGCGAAGTAAAAGAGAGAGAGAGAGAGAGAGAACGCCAACAAAGAAACAACAAACATCTGGCACAAAAAGGAGGAGGGCCAGGGCGCGGAGAGAGAGGAGGTCGGGGAGGGCAAGACGACGGACAGGGCGTGGCGGGCTCGGGAGGGGGGCGGTCTGGGAGGGCGCGCCGAGGTGGTCGACGGGCAGGTGGGGGAGAGGCAGGGCGAGGGGGGGGGCGTCGCGCGCCAGAACGTCGCCTCCCCCCTCGCCCACCTCCACGAACACCACGCCCCTATCCTCTCCCCTCCTCCCCTCCCCCACCATCCCCTCCTGCCCTCCACCCCCCCCCTTCCCCTCGCCATCCCCCTCTTATCGGGGGAGCCTAGGAACGAATCGATAGGTCGGACCGGCGGTCGACATGAATCAGACCGGCGGAGATCGGCAGCCGAGTCGGGAGGAGTCGAATCGGCAAACGTCGGCACGCCCAGAAGGCCTCCAAGGAGACATCGGAGCACAAAGCTGAATCCAAAGTCGAGTCGAATCGGCACCGGAAGCCATCGAGAGCGGACCGAATCGGAGGAATCGAAACGAGCCCTGCGTGTCTCCGCCCCCGCCCCCCCCAGGGAGGGCCCTCCCGCCGTGCCGTGTGCCATTCTCCCGAGGAGGTGCGCGAGGCAGCAGTCTGCCCGAGGCGCCGGGGTGCTCCAGGACGCCCACGCAGCGCCCACCACGAGTCCCTGCCCCTTCCGTCCCCCATCCCCGTTCCCTCCTGGCCCCCCATCCCGCGTCCTCCAAGCCCCATGCCCCTCCTCCCTCTCTCCCTCCACCTCGCCTCCCCCCTCCTGCCATTCCCCTCCCCCCTTCCCCCCCCCCCCTTCTGTCCCCCCCCCCCCTTCCTCCCCCC